AAACAAACAAACAAACAAACAAACAAACAAACAAATGAAGCTAGCTAGCAAAGCTCTAATCTTGCCCAGCCCATCCGGTAGCAGCTGCTGGGCACACCTTACCTCAGAATGGTGCTGCACGTCGACAGGCTCTGCACCCGCTCTCCCCTGCCCCGCCGTGCTCTCCCCACTGCTCTAACAGAGAGAAGGGCCCCTGGAAGTGCTCCCTGGGTCTTTGGGCCAGATACAGGGCCTGGGAAGGGACTCAGCAGCACTTCTAAGGGAATCTTGCCTCTGGGCCTGTCTTTGGTGACACTGGGGCTGACTCAGGCACTTTCCACCTCTAACATTCACAACTTAAGATGGTGAGCTGGTGTAGCTGGGTGTGGTGGCACACGCCTTTAATCCCAGAACTCAGGGAGGCAGAGGCAGGCAGATCTCTGTGAGTTTCAGGACAGCCAGGGATACACAGAGAAACTCTGTCTTGGGCTGAGGTGGGGAAGAGGGGGAACAGCTCAACAGTGCAACAATGCCAATATCAAAAAGCCATTGAGAAGTCTAAATTAAAAACATCAAATTGCAGGGCTGGAGAAATGGCTCATCAGTCAAGAGCACTGGCTGCTCTTCCAGAGGTCCTGAGTTCAATTCCCAGCCACCACATGGTGGCTCACAACCATCTGTAATGAAATCTGATTTCCTGTTATGGTGTGCTTGAAAACAGCACTCATATACATAAAATAAGTAAGTTTTTTAAAAAAGCAAATTGCAGATATGTTATGAAGTATGTTCAGGAAATTGAGTCAGACTAGAGACAAGTATCTCAAACCTCTATCCCCAGCTGGAGCAAGATAAAAACATACTTACCAATAATGCGGGCTGTTACTGATTGAAGCACAGGAATAAACACTCGATAAAACAAGAGGAGACTGAACTGAAGGAAAAAGGGAATAAAGTAATCAAAAACCCATCTTTAAATTAAAACAAGGCATCAGACAATAGTAGCACACTTTAATCCCAGCACTCAGGAGACAGAGGCAGGCAGATTTCTAAGTTTGAGGCCAGCCTGGTCTACAGAGCCAGGGATACACAGAGAAGCCCTGTCTCAAAAAACATAAAATGTATATATATTATATACATACATAATATATATTAATTAATTAAGGCATTTCACTTTTCAGAATAATGACTTTCCAGTCAAGAAGTTTATAAATCAAGAGGACAGAAGAAGCACCTTTCCTATTTGTCAAAACTCCAAGAGAGTACAGCAAACTGATACTGTTTATCAGTGAGACTTTTGAGAGGCAGAAAACATTTTAACATTCCCTCCAAAATATAAAGATATATGCTAAACACAATGTCATGTTTATTAATTAAATCTAAAGTTAATATCCGAAAATAAGTTAAATGTTTACATTCAGATAAACTGAATACACTAAATATCAAATCAAAAGTGATCTTCATTCTTTTTTTTAATGAAGTCTTTTTTTATTTTATTTGTTTGTTTATACAGCATTCTGCCTATGAACCAGAAGAGGGCACCATATCTCACCATTGATGGTTATGAGCTACCATGTGGTTGCTGGTAATTGAGCTCAGGACCTTTGGAAGAACAGCCAGTGTTTTTAACCTCTGAGCCATCTCTCCAACCCCAGTATTCATTCAGTATTCATTCTTGTACAATCCAAATTTCAGTAAAAACTACGATAGTTCTCAATTATAGGTAACATTTTTTGTTTTATTTTGTTTTGATCTGGATTTCAATAACAACCAATTGTTACAACCAGAAACAAGGAGAACCTTGCTATCTGGCCTTATCTACTTCTCTGATCCCACAGATCTCTTAGCCAAAAAAATGTCCAGGGTTAACACAAATTATTTATCACAATACTAAAACCTGTCAATGGATCATGTAAACATATATGTAGGACTTTTCCAAGGCATCTGTTTATGCATAAGTGAATAGAAACAAAAATCACTACAGATAGTCTGATAGTGGTAGTGCATGCCTTTAATCCCAGCATTTGGGAGGCAAAGGCTAGCCTGGTCTACAGAGTCCAGGACAGCCACAGCTATATAGAGAAATCCTGTCTTAAAAAAAAACATAAAAATCACAATTACTACAGATACATAAGAATCCATATTAATACTTGTTGTTTGGGGTTTTTTTGTTTGTTTTTCCAGACAGAATTTCTCTGCACAGACCTGGCTATACTGGAATTCACTCTGTAGACCAGACTCAACTGCCTCTACCTCCTAAGTATTGGGATTAAAGGTGTGGGCCACTTTGCCTGACTCACGTTTGTCTTGTTTATGGAGACTGACCTAAAACTCACTATGTAGCTTGAAGTTCTGATCCCCCTGCTCTTACCACCCAGTGCTGGAATTACAATCTTGTTAAAGATTTATTTATTTATTTTATATATGTGAGCGCTCTATCTGCATGTGTACCTCTTGCCAGAAGAGAGCATTAGATCACATTATAGCTGGTTGTGAGCCACCATGTGGTTGCTGGGAATTGAACTCAGGACTTTAGAAGAGCAGTCAGTGCTCTAACCTCTGAGCCATCTCTCCAGCCCATATTACAATATTTCTATTTTTTAAAGATTTATTTTTATTACTTTATATGTATGTGTCTGATTGTCTATATGTGCAGCACATGCATACAGTGCCCATGGAGGCCAGAAGAGTGTATAAAATCCCATGGAAATGGAGTTTAAAACTGCCTAATAGAAAAGTGCTATGAATTGAAACCAGATCCTCTCCAAGAACAGCAACTGCCCCTAAGTACTGAACCATCTCTCCAATCCCACAGGTATTTTTTAATATTAATTTTCCTCCCCCCCTTGACACAGTGTCTTACTGTGTAGTCCCTGGATGGCCTGAAACTTACTTTGCAGATGAGATTGCCTGATCTCAGAAATCTGTCTGCCTCTGCCTCCCAAGTACTAGGATTATAGGCATGCATGACCTCACCTTGCAATTATTAAAAGTTTTTAGCTATCATACAAAATAAAGGGTTTCATTTTGACATTTTCATGCATAGCTCAGGGCCCACTCCCCTCCTCCATCCCCTATCCATGTGATAGGGGATCATCAGCATCATCAGCATATATAAACATCTCAAAGATCGAAAATAATGCATCTTAGTCTTTCAAAGAAGCACATGAGAAATATTAACCTAGTAATAATCTAGAGATACTTGTAAAGAACCTAGAATTTGATGCAAAAGAACTTACCCAGAATACTCCACCATTCCAAGCACAACACTGGAAAATTCTACTAACAATACGTGGCTCACTGGAAAAAATCATATGAATTTATCTTTTTAGACATGTAGGCTGTTTTCTAATGTTATGTAGTAACTCCATTTTACATCATTGGCACCATATTATCTTTGAGCATTTAGTATTCTCCCAAAGTTCTAATTCGGTCAATAAAAAAAAAAAAAAAAAAAAAAAGGCTACAAAGTTTCTGAGGAACCAGGTGTTTTGTTTTGAGACAGAGCCTCATTATATATTCCAGGCTGCCATCAAACTCCTGGCAGTCATACTACCTCAGTCTTCACAGTGATGGGATTACAGACATGTGCCACCACACCCAGGTGAAACCAGCTTTTCTATTTTGCTACTGTTGTTTTGAGACAGGATTTCACTATGTGGCTCTGACTGGCCTGGAACTATTTGTCAAACTGCCTACCTCTGCCTCCTAAGTACTGGTATTAAAGGCATGTGTCACCAGGTTTTCTTAAAAAAATAAAAATGGGCTAACAAGGTTGCTTCCTGGGTATTTAGCACACAATCATGGCAACCTGAATTTGATTCTCTGAATCAATGTAAAGGTGGAAGGAGAGAAGTAATTCCACAAAGTTCTATGACCCCTATACATGCTGTGAAATGGACATACCTTCTCAATGATAAATAATTTTTCAATGTTATTAATTCTTATGTCTATGGGTATTTTGTCTTCATGAATGTATGTACACCATTTATGTGCACTGCCCATGGAGGCTACAGCAGAACCTTGGATCCTCTGAAACTAGAGTTACAGACAGTGCTGGAAACTGAACCAGGTTCTCTGGAAGACCAATAAGCACTCATAACCACTGAGCCACCTCTCCAGCACCCAAATACAATAAAAATGTGTGTGTGTGTGTGTGTGTGTGTGTGTGTGTGTGTGTTCTGCCCTCTAAAATCTGAGGTAGGAGCATATTAAACAAGAAAGTCTGGGGGAAGGGTCTGTCCTTCAATAAATAAATCCACACAGACTTACCTGCAAGTATCTATCAAAACAAATACTTTTTTGTGGTACTGTATTATTTGGAATTCTGATTTTATGTTTTTTGTTTGTTTTTGTTGTTTAATTTATTATTGTATATGTGAGAGACACAGGTGAGATCCAAGGACAACTTTCCTTCCATCTTTCCATGGGTTGCAAGGATCAAACACAAGTCATCAGGCCTGCTTGGCAGACATCTTTTCCCTCTGAGCTATCTCACCAGCATTAATTTATTTTTAAACCATGCCATTTTTAGTAAGAATCCTAGTTTAAGTCAGTGTGTGTGTGTGTGTGTGTGTGTGTCTGTTCGTGCTAGAAAGGAATCACCTATAACACTTTCCTATTAAAAATTAAAAAAAAAAAAAAAACAACTAATAGGATGCCGGAATCATAACTTACTACTAAGATCAATCATTTCCTTAAGTGCCTCTCCTATGGCAGTTTGGGTTCTGGGCCTGTACTCACCTCTCTTGCTTCCGCTCTACACTCTGGGCTCTCCTCTGGGCCAAGACACTACTTGCCCTTCTTCGACGCTGCTCCTCTCTCTTCTGCTGGATCCGAGCATCTAGCTTTGAGATGGTACAGATGCCCCAGATGGAGTCTTTGATTCCCTGTAGATAAGGACATTTTTAAAGACAGATTATGGGCTGGAGAAGATTTTCCAAAGTTAGACACTGGAAACTGAGTAACAATGGAAACTACAATATTTATTTTGGTAAAGAAGGGGAGTGATTTGTACCTCCATTGCTGTGCTGGAACTAGGGACTTTGTGTACACTAGGCAGCAGTCTGCCGATGAACTATACCCTCACGCTTTACCAATTTTGCTGTTTTGTTTTTCAAGACAGGGTTTCTCTGTGTAGCCTTGGCTGTCCTAGACTTGCTTTGTAGTCCAGGCTAGCCTCAAACTCCCAGAGATCCGCCTGCCTCTGCCTCCCTGAGTGCTGGGATCACAGGTGTGTGCCACCACGCCTGCCCTAATTTTTTTTTCATGATCCTTAATTTACAGAAGAACTGCAACAATGGAAAACTTTAGACTAAAATCACCAGTTTATTTTTTTCCATATTAATATATACTTTTTCTGTCATTCAAGTAAGTTGTTATATCATGCCTCATGCTGTTTTTCCCTTAGAGAGAGGCTGAGACAGGATCTCACTACATAACCCTGAGTGGCTTCAAACTCTTAATCCTGCCTCAGCTCCCAAATGCTGAAAATACAGGCATAATGACCAACATGACCAGCTTATCAGGCCCCTGTATGGTCAATTTTTAGTCGGGTTCCTAAGAACAATACTCTTTACATAAACATAGGGTAGTTATCCACATTCCAATTTTTCCATTCATCACAACGGTAAACTTCAAAGCATTTTACCTCAAAAGAGTTTAATCCAAAATCAAATATGGCATTTCATTAGTATGTCTTGTTAGTATTTTCAAATCAACAGCAGTTCTTTATACTTTTTCCATTTTATTTGTGCAAACATGGTGCCATGCCATGGATCAGAGGACAACTTGTTGAGAATCAGTTCTTTCCTTCTACCATACAGGTTTCTGGAATCATCACATTGAGGTCACCAGGTTTGGCAGCAAGAGTCTTGACTTCTAAACCATCTTACCTGCCCTAGGCTTTGACTTTCTTTTTGAAGAATACAGGCCAGCTACTTCATGGAATTTTTCTCAAGATTTAAGTTTCCCTATGATTACCCAACTTAAGCATTTTGAGCGAGAATATCACAGAACTAATGGTATCACATCAAGAAACACATAAGCAAGTCATGGTGGAAAATGCCTCTTGTCCCATAATTCAAGAGGTTGAGACAGGATAATCCCAAATTCAAGGCCAGTCAGGGATACATAGTAAGTACCAAGCCAGTCTGGCCTGTACGGAGAGACCAGGTGTACACCCTCTTCCTGAAACAATGGCACTCAGGAACTGTTTGCCCTTGTTGTGATATTAATTGCACAAGGGAAAAGTAACTGGAAAGTATTAAGTGAGGAGAGATTTCTGATGCCATAAAAATATCCACCCCATCATGTTCTCCCCAATTTGGCATCCTTCCTCAATTCTTGCTTAAGTAAATCATGAATTATATGAGCACTAAATAGTAGTTTTCCAATGTTTCTACATTTATTGATACTATGAAAACAAGTTATCACCTTTGCTATTCCCTTTCAGCACCAATTAAACCGCTGCAATACTCCTGAATCCTGTACTAGCTCTAAACACCAGTTAAGAAAGGACTACACTACATCAAGTTTGGAGAAAGATACAATTACTGTTTTAAAAAGGAGAGAAAGAAGGGAAGAAGGAAAAGAGGGAAGAAAAAGAAATAATTGCTGTAAAATGTAAAGCTCTAGAGTATAAGTGTGGCATATAAAACAGAAGCATCATGGTAGTGTAGCTGAAGAATGTTCTTCGTGGGTACAAGGCGAGGGAGGTACTATTGAATTTGTATAGACAACAGTGACAAACGTACCTGCCAACCATATCTGAAGACTTTGAAGTTATTGCTGATGCTAAAAACACCAGAATTACCTGTCATCCAGTTCAAAGAACTGCATTCACTTATCCACCCCTGCAACCAACCACATATTGTACAACTTCAACGAACTAACCTTTGGTCACATGGAAGAAGATAGTATAATCCCATCAACATGTGAATCGGGGCAGGATAATTGCCTCAAGTTATGCCAGCCTGGGCTTACAGCATAAAACTCTATCTCAAAATAAAGGCAAGAAATGACTGGGAATTCAGCAGAGTGCTTGCCTAGCTATGTGAGAGGCCTTGGGTTCAAACCTACTATTAAAAGGACAGAAACGTTACACAAATAAAGCCCACCCCAAATAGATATAATGTGTATGTGGTAGAATATATTTATATTTTATCTAGTATAAATATCTAGTATATATTATATTATAATTTTATATAATTATATATATAATTTTATATAAAGAATGTGTATGTGTATACCAGAATTTAATAAATATCATAATAGATTTACATCCAAAGTAGAATAATTTCACCACGATAGTCAACTTCACAGAAAGATCACACACACACACCAAAAAATAAAAAAGTAAAAAATAAACCAAAACAAAAAACACAATCAGAACCAGGTGTGGTGGCATATTTCTATAAGTCTAGCATTATGGCACTTAGGAGAGTGAGGCAAGATGATTACCACAAATCTGAAAACAGTCTGGGCTATGGAGTAAGAACATGTCTTAGAAGCATAAACAAAGGCCAGCAAGATGGCTCAGCAGGTAAAAGTACTGTAACCAAACTGACAACCATAGAACCACATGGTAGAAGAAAACTGACATAATGTCCAAGCATACACAAACTAAAGCAATAAAACAAAAGCAGAGCTGTACATCAGTCAGAAGATAACATTCAGGAGGCCAAATAGGTCTTGGAGGTTGAACACAGTGTCAGGCTTGTCCATAAGCACCTTTACCTGCTTCTATTGGGACTACAAGAATGTGAAGCATTTTGTACAAATAGACTTTGAAGTAATATGTATCTTTTGTTTTTGTTTTTGTTTTTGTTTTTAAGACAGTGTTTCTCTCTATCGCGCTGGCTGTCCTGGAACTCACTTTGTAAACCAGGCTGGCCTCAAACTCAAAGAGATCTGCCTGCCTCTGCCTCCCTAATACTGGGATTAAAGGCATGCACCAGAAGTGGGAGAAGACAAGGTACAGGACAGGAGCCTTCCACAGAGGACCTCTCTAAAAGACTCTACCCACCAGGGTATCTAAGGAGATGTAGAGACTCATAGCCAACCTTTGGGCAGAGTGACGGAATCCTTAGGGAAGACTAAGATGGAAAACAAAAGAGCCAAAATAGCTGGCTTTGTTGTGGGGGGGAGGGCGCCTGCAGAGACTGATACTCCAACTAAGGACCATGCATGGAGAGGACCTAGACCCTCTGTTCAAAGGAAGCCCACTGGCTGCTCATTTTCCAACTGGGTGCCCTAGTAAGGAATACAGGGGCTGTCTCTGACATGAACTCAGTAGCCAGCTCTTCGATCACCGCTCCATGAGGGGTGCAGCCTTGATGAGACCTGATAAGCTAGGGTCAGATAGAATAGGAGGAGGCCCTCCCCTATAAGGAGACTAGGGAAAGGGCATAAGGGGAGAAGAGGGAGGGAAGGTGGGACTGGGAAGAGATGGGGGAGGCTGCAGTGGGGATACAAAGTGAATAAATTGTAATAAATAAACCTATAAATAAAATTAAAACAAAAAGCATGTGCCACCACCTCCCAGCGAAGTAATATGGCTTTAATGGAAATCTTCCTCTATCTATTTACAGGCCCTACATAATGAGAGAGATTTGGGGGCACATCCCTCTCTGTAAACTGTCTCATAAGCCCATGATTATTATTTCTAAAATAATTTGATTTGATTAACAGGCAGTTAGAATGTCACCCTAAAACCTAGAAGGCCATTATTTTCAAAATTTGTTTGGTTTTCTTCCTTCTTTCTTTCCTTCCTTCCTTCTGAGACAGGGTCTCTTGTAGGCCAGGCTAGTCTCAAACTCCCTATGTAGGTAAGCCTGGACTGAAACTACTGATCCTTTTGTTCTCTAAGTGCTAAAAGATCAGATGTGCCACTACACCTTTGTTTTTTTATTTGCTGTTATTATTGCTTTGTTCTTGTGATGGGTCTCACTGCATAGCCAAAGTGGCCAAGAACCCATGATCCTCCTGCCTCAGTCTCCTGAGTGCTGTGATTACAGATGTGTGCTACTACTATATCTGGCTCAAACTAGCCTGCTGACATATGCTTGTAATCCCAACTCTTGTGATCAAGGCAAGGGGATCAGGAGTTCAAGGTCATCCTGGACTACACAGCCAGCTGGAAGGTAAACAGTCTCAAAAATAAACAACAAAAAAAAAAAAAGATCCTGAAGCCAAACTAGCCAGAATCCTAATACTAGACAACATACTCAAAGACAGGTCTCACAACTTCCATAGGATACAGGATAGAAGGGCTGGGAATCAAGCAATATGTAACAGTATTTGCTCTGCAAGCATGAGGACATGAGTTCAAATCCCAATAGCTTCTTGTAAAAAGCTAGGCATGGCTACTGGATCCTGAAAAGTCACTGACCAGCCAGGCTTGCCAAATAGGCCAATTTCAGGTTCAGTGATACATACTGTCTCAACGCAATAAGGCAGACAGTAATAGAGGTGACGGAGGAAGACTCCTCAAGTTCTGCTTTGACCTCCAGATAAGAATGGGACTGCACCTACATATCCACATGCACGTACCACACAAATACACAGACACACACAGGCTCACACGTGTAATCCCAACATCTGCGAAAGAGAAATAAGACTGAAAGGAACTCAAACCAGCCAAGGTTATGTAGCAAGATTTTTTTAAAATGTAGGACGGTGTACTTAGAACACTGAGGCAGGAGCATCACTGGGAGTCCAAGATCAGCCTGAGATATACAATAAGACTGTCTCAAAAATACCAAAAACTCCTATTTATTGAATGATGTAGACTACAATGAAAACCTACATTCTACGTAAAAGACCCAACAAATATGAAAAAAAGTTACAAAACACCTGAAGGATTTTTTGGTTCGTTCCTTTAGCAAATAAAGAAAAAAGGTTAAGGAACAAATTCCTTGAAATAAAATATACTCACCCTGCCAAGATCCTGCAGAAAGGTTTTGACACTGTCAGCCATCTCTTCACTGCCCAGACTACCAATTAATTATACAGAGAGGGAAGTGCCCCCAAACCTCTCATCATGAAGGGCCTGGAAACAGATGGAGGAAAAGGACTTACATTAAAATATATTACTTCATGATCTGTTTCTACAAAATGACTCCACATTCTAGTAGCTTGAATACAAGAGTAATAGATTCTGGCACAATACAGGCTATACTTCTAACAGTTAAAACATAAGATACTTTTTTATGAGTTATTGGTAAGTTGTCCTGGCTAGAACCACAATCCTGAGCTCAACAGATCTTCCTGCCTCAGCCTTCCCAGTAACTAAAGACAGGAATGTTTCATTAGGGTGCAAATGTGCTTCTGGACAAATGATCTCCCCTGAGCCTCAGATGTCCCAAACTATTCCACTAAACACTCCCACTTTTGAGATTTTGGAGATGGGTGATAATAGTTTGAATAACATCTTCAACCATTTTTATGCTTGCTATGTATTCTCAAAACACTTGAATGTGGGACTGGAGAGATATATGGCTCAGAGGTTAAGAGAACTGCTGCTCTTTCAGATGTCCAGAGACCAATTCCTAACACAGACCCCTGACAACCATCTGAACTCCAGCGCCAGAGGATTCAATACACTTTTCTAACCTATACAGGCACCTGCACGCATATGCACACATTTTACGTCTGCACACACACACACTCTAAAAGCAGCTAGATAATATGGTATATTGTAATGCTAGCTAGCACTCAGGAGGATCACAATTTCATTGCCAGGCTGGTCTGCACATTAAGTTCCACACTGGGAAACCCTGTCTCATACAATAATAATAATCTACTTCAATTCACTTCAATCATATACAATCCTCAAATACACAGGAAAGTGTTAAGACATAAAACTACCAAGCCCACTAATTAGGTCTATGTCTTCTAACTTCATCCCCCAGCACCACCAGCGTGGAACCTAGCGTGTCACACATATTAAACAAGTGCCCTACCACTGACCTATGCAGCACAAGTTCATGTTTTACCTTTAAATATACACACACATGTGTATATTTAATCTTACATTATATCTTAATAATGTAAGAAACAATGAATTAGGATCAATGGTAAGCTACATGCTCAATATGTGTGAGAGCCAGGGTTCAATGTCCAGTATCAAGAAAGAAAAAAGTTAGCAGGGCTTAGTGGCACACGCCTTTAACCCCAGCACTCTGGAGGCAATGGCAGATGGATTTCTGTGAATTCAAGGTTATCTGGTCTACAAAGCCAATCTAAGACAGCCAGGGCTGTTACACAAGAAAACCTGTCTCAAAAAACAAACAAAAGTTCATAAAGTGCAAATTTAAAATAGTCTTTAAAATGGTAAGGGTTAGTTGGGTATAGGGACAGATACCTATAATACCACTTGGGAAGCTGAGGCAAGAGGATCAGGAGTTCAAGGTCATCCTCAGTTAAACTGGAAGTTTGAGGCAAGCTACAGGGGCTATAAGACAAATGGAACAGCAAGGATTTATTTTATTTCTCAGGTGAATGGAAAACCCGGCTCCAAAAATTAAGAAACTGACAAGGTTTCAAATAAAACTCAGTCAGGGACAGGGAGAGGTCTGAGCAGGTAAGGTGCCTTCTGCTGAACCAAGCAATCTGAGTTTAATTGCCCACACAGGGAAAAAGCAGCAGCTTCTGTGGGCTGTCCTGACTTCACATGTATACTATATACTCACATCACATGCAATGCTCATGCGAACACACACTATAAATGTTGAAAAGAGAGAACCGATAGAAAAAAAAATAACTACAACTCAGTGGTAAGAGTGCTTGCATGGCATGTTCAATTCCCAACACCAATAAAAACTACAAAACTGAGTCAGGGCTGGTGGTGCAGCCCTACAACCCCAGCTACTTGGCAGGGTAGGGTAGGCTCACAAATTCAAGGTCTGTATAAACTGAAGTCAAGGCCAGAGTGAGTAACTTATTGAAATCGTCTCTCAAAAGCAAATGTTGAGAATATAGGTCAGTAATAGAGAACAGTCCCCAGTACTGAAAGGGCAAAAGATTTGTTCACACTAAATAATCTTAAAATAATAGTCTCTCATTTAATTTCTATAAAATGAACTCTAAGATAAATGGAAATTTTACTTGCAAAATTGTGAGAATTTAGGATTCTAAAGTGATCAAGCCCCACTAAATCAATCACAGAATCTTCAAATTAAGAAATAATAACCTTACTACAATAACTCCACAGGCAGCTTATATACAACTCAAACTTCAAAACAAAAAGGATACATTCCTTGACCTTTGGCCACTTCAAGTAACACCACACTGACCCAACTGGACTAATGCCACTCAGAACTGGAGGAACAAGAGTGTAGAGTCAGAAGGCACAAAACATGTGTAACCTTTGTTCTCAGGTCAAATCCTGCTTAAATGTGCTCACCTAGGGAAGTTCCTAGGGTTAAGACACAGGTCATCACATCCACGCCTCCATCCCCCCCCCCCCCCCCCCAAAAAACAAACAAACAAACAAAAAAGAAAAACAGGACAGGGTAGAACGTCTTTAATCCCAGCACTTGGGAGGCAGAAGCAGGCGGATCTCTGTGAGTTAGAGGCCAGCCTGGTCTTTACATAGGACAGCCAAGGCTACACTGCAAAACCCTGTCTGAGAAAAAAAGAAAACAAACAAACAAAAAACAAGAGTTTCAATGTGCACAGATACAGTGTTCTAAGAATTGCAGTAAAAGCAGCCCACAGCCAGGAGACTAGTAAATGTCCAATAACTGGCAAGACAGTAGATGTACCCTCATTCCGAGGACTTGCTCATTTACAAATAAATAGTAGTAAAATTCTTCACAGGATTTTTGATGATAGAGTACAACAGAATGAACAAAGCCGAAAATTCTATATAAACGTAATCCTATTAAAGAATGCACCCGATTTGAGGTTTGATGAAATTCATTAGTTTAGTGTTCTCCCAGAGCCAAGCCCGTCTATCCGAGCCCAGAACAACTATGTTATTTGACTCCTGGCAGATTAACACCCGGCTTCTGCATGTACCAAGCAGCAAAAGTACCTACTGACCAAACAGAACCTTTAAAGGACACGCCATTTCAATATTATACTGTGGACCTAACATCTTTCCTACGGGAGAGAACATTTGGTATGAATTACCCTGTTTAACAAACTGCTGAAACATGCAGAAAAATAACCTGCCACAAGCTGAGGCCACATATTGACTGAGTGATACAAAGGGCTCTTACAACAGAGGAAATCAAGATGCATCATCTGGTTCACAATTCTTTTACAGGTGGAGAAGTTAAATGGTTTGTCCAACAGCGACTGAAAGCTAAGTACAGCAAACTTCAGAACTTCAGTGTTCTAACCTCGTCTGGACTTTTTGCTTAAGCTTTGCAACGAGGATTTTTATTTAACCCAAGCTTCCCATGGACAAATCACCTTCCTTAAACCTTGAAATACTGCTGACCACTCAATTCTTGACAGTCTTTAGAACCATTAAGCATCCACTGAGACAAACTCCTGCACTTTCATTTCCAAGCCTCCAAACCCAAGTCCCAGAAAGCAGGAAGCTGGCGTTTCCCACACCAGGTAGGCAGAACGTAAACACCTCCTCACCACCGGGCCACAGGCTGCCTTCTGGGCCCCTCAAGAGTACTCGGCTCCTTTCTCCCGCTGCTCCGAAGCAACTGAGCTGAGAACCGTCTTTCTCCCCAGCCACTGCCGCGCAACAAGGTGAGGACCACGCTAACCGAGGGTCACCGGAGCTAAAGATAGCCGCTCCGGCCGTGGGTAGCGCGAGCCTGAACGCCGCGCGGCGCCGCCGCAGGGCCTGCCCTCGGCGCCCTTCGAGTCCCGGGCCCTCCGGGGCCGGGGTCCTTGCCGCAGCCCCCGCCCGAACCTCACGGACTAGCTCCGGCCTGCCAGCCCTGGATGGGCCGTGCAAGTCCGCCCAGACCCGGACTTGCAAACAGCTCAAGCCCACTGCTCCCCGCGGCCCGCACCTACCCCGCAGCCCTACCGCCGCGGCTCCGGCCCGGGCGCTGGCCCACCGAGGCTCCGCTCGCCCACTCAGCGCAGGGCTGCCCGCTCCGCCCCGGCGCTCCCAGAGCCGGGGCTGCGCCCACACTGGGCATGCCCGGGCCGCACGGGGCAGCTGGGAAGTAGGGCGGGCACCCTGCCGGTCGCCGGGCAGAGGCGTGGCTCTCGGGGTAGGGCGGGGCCATCCAGGAGGGGCGTGGCCAGGGAGCTTGGGAATTGTAGTTGGCAGGACCAGGCTCATTGTAGGTGCCCAGGTACAGGTCCCTATTGACTCCTCGTCAATCCCCTTCTTGCTATTCGGCAGTCTTGCTCGTTAACCTCCTCAATCTACCTACACAATAATGCTGGTCTTTCTGAAACCCTTTAAGAACCTATGATGAAAACAATAAAATGGGGTCACCTTGATTATTTGGAGGCTTTCTATGATTAAAGACAAATAAGTCCTGGGCGATTAGCTCAGTTGGTTAAAGTGTGGTGCTAATAACGACAAGGTCGCAGGTTTGATCCCCGTACGGGCCAATGGATAACATAGATTGGGCTGGAGAGATGGCCCAGCCGTTAAAGGCTAGGCTCACAACCATAAATATATAAGACTAATAAACCAGGTATGGTGATGCACAGTTCTAATCCAAGCCATTGGAAATCTGAGGAGAAATGCCCCGAATTCGAGTCCAGACTAGGCTACATAGTAAGAACCAGGCTATGTAGGGCTATAAAACAAGACCCCATCTCAGAAAAACAAAGCAAACAACAACAAAATCTCAGTAGAGTAATCGCTTATCATGCACAAAGTCCTGGGTTCAATACCCAGCAGCGTCTGTACAGGGCATGGTGGTACAATCTCAGCACTTGGGAGTTGGAGGCAGGAGGATCAGAAGTTTAAGGTTATCTTTGACTATCTAACAAGTTTAAGGCCAGATTTGACTAAATAAGACCCTATCTTAAAAAAATAAAAATAAAGAAAGAGAACTAAACAGTGGCAGTTTACATCGAAATGATTCAGAATATAAGCCATCAAACACTTAGGCTGTACTTAGTGTGTATTCTAATGATGGAATTGCTGAGATAAAAACCAAATAGAGATTACTAGTTCCACTGGTCCAGGTCTAGCCTAACTCCACAATTCCTTGGCATGAAACTGTAGGGAAAGCCAATTTATCTTTACCTTTTTTGGGTTTCTCCTCTGGGTCTAAGAAATTAAACCAAAATTTAACAAGTCAAACATAAGAAAAGCATACAAGTTATTTAATGAGTTAATAGTGACTGACATAGAAACCCTGGGAAGGAAATGAAGAAGGTTGAAGATATGTATTAGTCAGGGTTTTTTGTGGGCCAGGTGTTCAACAGGGAACCCCCTGTCTTTGAACTGAACTCTATCTGTAGACTACGGTGGCCTTGACCTCAGAGATCTGCCTATATCCGCCTCCCAAGTGCTGGGATTAAAGACCACTACTGCCCATCTTAGTCAGGGTTCTCTGTAGGAACAGAAATTGTGTAATAAATATAGACATAAATTAATTCATTCATTAGAATGGCTTACAGGCTGTGATCAAACGAATGGTTCCCTATGAATGGAAAGTCCAAGAGTCCAGTAGTTGTTCAGTTCATAAGGCTAGATGAGTTCAGCAGGTTTTCAGCATATACTGGAACCCCAAAGAAGTAGGCTCTAATGCAAGTCCTAGAGAAGAAATGGACTTACTACTGAAAGCAGGAGCAAGCAGGCGAGAAGAGAGCTTCCTTTATCCATGTTCTTTATACAGGCTGCCAGCAGGTGTGGGCCAGATTAAAAAAGGATCTTCCTACTCAGATCTGGGAGATCTGAGTCTTCCCAGCTGGGTGTGGTGTCACACGCCTTTAGTCCCAGCACAGGCAGACAGAGGCAGGTGGATCTCTGAGTTCAAGGCCAGCTTGGTCTACAAAACAAGTTCCAGGACTATAAAGAGAAACCCTGTCTTAAAAAAATCAGAACTAGCTCTATAGACCAGCCAGGCTAGTCCGCCAGCCTCTGCCTCCACAATGCTGAGACTACACTAAATGCTGAATCTGCCACCACTTCCAGCCCAAATGCTTTTATACCACATTGTTCAAAGAAGGGAAATTCTAGAGAAGTGGCAGAGCTGAAGGAAAATCACTGTTTTAATTAGATTTGTTTTGTACACAGGCTATTGGCTATTATATACATACTTATGGTTGTGAGCCTAGCCCTTAATGACTGAGCCATCTCTCCAGCCCGGCAGTTTTTTTTTTTGTTTGTTTGTTTTGTTTTGTTTTTTTTGTTTTGTTTTGTTTTGTTTTAATTTATCCAGTATACACATATGCTGGGCAAGTGCTTTAGCACTGAGCTAAATTCCTATTCCCTTCAAATTCCTATTCAAGCCACTTTCCTAATAGTTATTAGAGCAGCAACTTTCTGCTTTTAGAAAGGGAAAGGGAAGATAATAGGCCTCTTGGCCTGGTAATGTAGCTCAGTGGTAAAGACCCTAACTTCAAGGGAGCTCCTTTCTCCTTCTGCTGGTCTTGTTTTAATTTTTAAGTGTTCTTAGCTCACAATTACCCCTATGGAAAAGTGACATAATTTAGGTAGCCTATTTGCTTATTCTGAACTATTCCTACCTTCTCCCTTTTATTCCTCATTTCCAACCTTTTCTATGACTCTTCATTTCTTTCTACTTCCTATTTCCCTTTGCCTTTACCAATTTTTAGAGCAGCTACTGATAGGGCCATCTATAGAATCAAATGCTTATAATTATAAGATATGTATGGGAAGGGGGGGATAGAAGGACACGGAGGCAACAGGAGCCCCACAAGGAGACCTACAAAGCTAAAAAACCTGAGCCCAGGAGGTCCTGCAGAGACTAATAACATCAACCAAGGACCATGCATGGAGAGAACATAGACCGCCCCCTGCTCAGATGTAGTTGATAGGCAGCTCAGTCTCCATGTGGGTTCCCAAGTAAGGGGAGCAGGGCCTGCCTCTGTCATAAACTCAGTTGCCTGCTTTTTGATCACTTGTCCCTAGCAATGTGGCCTTAGCAGGCCACAGAGGAAGAGGATCCAGGCAGTCCTGATTCGACTTGATAAGCTATAGGCAGATGGCAGAGGAGGAGAACTCTTTCAGTGGACTAGGGGAAGAGAACAAGGGGGAAGACAAAGGGTGGGACTAGGAGAAGTTGAGGGAGGGGGCTTCAGTCAGGATATACAATGAATAAATTGTAAAAAAATAAAATAAAATAAAGACATTTATTTTTAGATACTGTATTATAAGATATCTTCTATGTGGGGAGAACGTGAAGCCCAGATGTCAAAGTCAGTGGCAAAACAAATAATCAGACCTTCTGGATCTTGTATCAGTCGGGTTGCTATTGCTACAATAAAACCCCACATCCGAAAGCAACTTGAGCTGGATGTGGAGGCACACGCCTTTAATTCCCAGGCTCGGGAAGCAGAAGCAGGCAGATCTCTGTGAGTTTGAGGCCAGCCTGGTCTACAAAAGGAGTCCAGGACAGCCAGGGTTGTTAAACAGAGGAACTGTCTCCAAAAGGGCTTCATAGTGAGACTCTGATTCAAAATATAATGAAGCCGGGTGGTGGTGCCTACCTTTAATACCAGCACTTGGATGGCAAAGGCAGGTGGATCGTTCTGAGTTTGAGCTTAACCTGGTCAGTAAAGAAAGATCTATGACAGCTAGGGCTACACACAGAGAAACATTGTCTAGAAAAAAAATAAATAAATTAAATAATAAATAAATAAATAGGGCTGGAGAGATGATGATTCAGCAGTTAAAAACACTGTCTGCTCTTCCAGAGGTCCTGAGTTCAATTCCCTCTGTTCTTCCCAGGACTACCATGAACTCTCCAGCCCAGGAGCTGGGCTGCCCTTCCCCCAGAGGCTTTTCCCTGTATAATCCAGACATTTTGGTTTTGTATCCTTTTCTTTTGAACCTTTGGCCTCCTGACTGCTGTACTTGGCTCTCCTTTGCCCTCTTCTTCTTGCCATATGATTCATGGTGATGACCACTCTAGACTCTCCCAGATGTCCCTGCCTCTGGCTATGGTCTCCCACACACCTCCAATTAACTTTCTTTTCCACCATAGTTAGGAGCAGCCATGTCCTTTTCTTTTTTCTTTTCTTTTTTCCTTTCCTTTCTTTTCTTTTTCTTTTCTTTTCTTTTCTTTTCTTTTCTTTCCTTTTCCTTTCCTTTCCTTTTCCTTTTCCTTTCCTTTCCTCCTTCCTTCCTCCCTCCCTCCCTCCCTTCCTTCCTTTCTTTCTTTCTTTCTTTCTTTCTTTCTTTCTTTCTTTCTTTCTTTCTTCCTTTCTTTCTTTCTTCTTTCAGAAAGATGTTGGCAGGGAAGTGGACAAAAAGAAAAGGAGACTCTTCTGTAAGGGATGTGGCCCCCTCAACGTTTAGGACACACCCAGACATCAAATTCTCAGCATAAAGGGTAGTGGGGGGGGGGCTGCTTTTGGAACAGGCAGCAAGCAGCAAGTTTTTGTTTGTTTGTTGTTGTTTTGCAGGAGTAAGTTTTAAGGAGAAAAAGGGAAGTCTGTGCTAGGGTAGTTGATAAATCTTTATTGGGTAGGCTAGCAAGTAGAGTCGAATAATGAATTTTGATTGTTTAGTCTTAGGAATGAGTCAGTGGCCAGACAAAGGAAAAGACCTTGGAGGCTAGCTTTAGGAATGTAATCTAAAGGTTAGGAAGGGAGAGGGAAGCAGGGTGGAAGACCTGCCTACAATGCTTGCCATGCTTGGGCTTGCTAGAGCCCTTCACCTTCAAAAGAAAAATAAACTCACTTAAAAATAGACCTACCAAGCAGGGCAGGGTGATGCATGATTAATCCCAGCACTCTCGGAGGCAGAGGCCAGAGGATCTCTGTGAATTCTAAGCCAGCTTGGTCTACAAAGTAAGTTCAGGACAGCCAAGGCTACACAGAGAAACCTGGTCTCAAAAAACAAACTAAACAAAACAAAATAGACGACCATAGGACTGGAATATGCCACACCTTGGAATTTCCCCAAATGACTCTAAGTCAACATAACACAGAGATACTTGCACACCATCTTTATTGCAGCATTGTTCATAACATAGGTGTCCATCAACAAAGGAATGGATAA